TTTGCTGATCCCTGGTCAAATGTAAACACCCTTCCCTGAAGATAAGACATACTCATCACATTTCATGTTGTAAGGAGAGAATATCATTTGGGCATTTTCCCCAAGTCATCTATGTGGCTACACTTGTTACCTGGGGCAGATATTTTTAGCAGTCACTCTCACGATGTGCATCGTAGTCACGGTCACCTAGACCGAGACAACTGTCATGGACTTCCTTCCTTCTGGGGGTGCAATGCAGTCTAGTACTTCTCAACTAGACCCTCAAGCCAGAGCTAAACAATAAGTCACGTTCTGCTACTATGTAAACCTACATTGTAAAAACACAGTAATCAGAAGAGAAATAATTAGATTATTTTCCAGATTCCTTACCCTTCGGACCTAAATATTAGTCTGAGTGCCTAAAAAAAGGAGGAAAAATAAAACTGAAAGTGGACTTGCAGTCTTTAGTGACATACAAGTTCATTCAAACTTATGAAAAGAAGAAAAGAAAAATGTTACCAAGGTGACGGTGCAACTTGTGTTCAAAGGGCAAAATAGGGTTTTAACTACTGTGTAAACTTTCATGGAGAGCACAATAGAATATTATTAAAAGAAAGAAAAACTTCCTGGCAGGTTATAATCACTTTGTCTTTTCTAATACCTCTTTCTCTAAGTATTTCTACCCTTTGATATCTACTAATCAACAGCTAAACTATATTCTTAATTATAATTGAGTTCAGTGCCTCCCAGGGAAAAGTGGAAATAAGTATTTCTATTTTTTTTTTTTTTAACAACTTAGCACTATATAAGGTACACTGAGGATTTTCCTTTTCCGGTCATTAGAAACATCACAGTAAGTGAAAATGATGTACCACCACTGTAGGATACTTATTTGAATATTTGGGAGACAGAATCCCCCCCCCTGCCCCCCACGGTCCTAATGTTATTTTACATTTGAGATAGAATGTCAGTTTCTGTAGTTTTGTGTTTCTATTATCATCACCTGGGAAGTTCTGACAAGGCTCAAGCATGCTGTGGTAGGCTAATGAACTATAAAATAGCTTCATCTTTACACCCAGGCATGTCAATATGCTAAGGAATCAACGTTGCTAATGAGCTGATGTGAAACTAGTGGGACTATCCTGAATGATCTAGGTGAGACCAAATGCAATTACAGGGGCTCATAATCGCGAAAGAAGGGGGCAGGAGAGAATCATAGAGAGATAGGACTATGGAAGAAAAACAGAGGATGGCAATGATCTTGAGCCAAGAATAGAGGCAACCTTTGTTGTTGTTGTTGTTGTTGTTAGGTGCTGTTGAGTTGGTTCTAACTCATAGCGACCCTATAAAACACCACCCAGTCCTGTGCCATTCTCACAATTGTGCCTATGCCTGGGCCCATTGTGGCAACCACTACCCTGTTTCCCTGAAAATAAGACAGTGTTTATATTAATTTTTGCTCCCAGAGGTGCGCTAGGTCTTATTTTTAGAGGATGTCTTATTTTTCCATGAAGAAGAATATGGTACACATTTATTGTTGAACAACAAAAAAAGGAAATTTATTACCTGTATACGATACGGTA